ATATATATGTCATATTACATAGGGATTAGCATGTAAGTTAAAATGATTAGAGGGGTAACTTTATAATCTCATTAAACTAATGACAATCGCTGCATGAATGTAAATTTTTTTATGGCAGTGACGGTCAACTAACTGTGCGAAGGTTAAAGGTATTCTTTTGTGAAACTTAATAACAAGTTTATCACATTTATCTCGAAGGTGGAAATGATAAACCTCAAATAAAATCATGATAATTTACCTAAAAAAAAAATTTCACTACTCGAGCTAACCAAACCACTAGTTAGTGGTGCAAGTCAATAGGGCCCAACCCGAATTTTTGGCAAGCATGGGCTACTTATTTTGATGCGGGTTAGGGTTCAGATGAATTTTATCAAACTGAGTCCATTTCGAGTTAGGAAGATTCCCGAACTCAATATTTATATATTATGTTTTTATTAATTTTCTTTTTTTAAATATGTCACTAGATCCAAACCCTTTATTTTTCGTCCGATGGCTATGTATAACATATATAAATTCTAACCCTTCAGAATTCTCCAGGCCCTCGTCACCACCCTCTACTATTGTCTTTGCGTGTCTACCATCATCTTGTAACATGTTTGCCATCGTCTCATCGTCGCCGCCATCTTCACAGATCTTCACCCGTAGTTGAAGGTAAAGATAATAACTTATCTTTACATTGATCACATTCATTAATGGACCATCATATTTCTTGTTAAGGTAAAGGTTGATTGATCCTTCGACTCGCTCGAGTTGTATATATGTGTATTTTAATCTTTAAATTTATTGACTGATTCACATTTTACCATGCACCACAGTACAACATAGCACTTCTATATGCACACACATATGTATATATATAGGGGTTAATTGTAGATAGCCCCCTTATACTATTCATTTTTGGCACTTAAACCCTTACACTATTTTTTTCGCAGCTAACCCTTCATACTATGTATAATGGTGCAACTTACCTCCACTTGTCATGGAGTCATTAAAAAACTAACGAAATTTTCAAATAATGTCAGTTTTACCCCCATAGCGTAGGGGTGGTAATTTGACCCGTCTCGTCCCTAATGGGATGTAGTGGGTATGCCTTTAAAAGGGTTGGGGATGAGTATGGGATTAGACAGCATAGTTAGTAACTCGCCCTGCCCGCCGTGATTAAATATTAAATTACATATATATCCCTGTTTTCTTAGTATTCCTTACATACACTTATATATATATATATATATTTCCTAGTTGTAGATAGCCCCCTTATACTATTCATTTTTTGGCACTTAAACCCTTACACTATTTTTTATCGCAGCTAACCCTTCATACTATGTATAATGGTGCAATTTACCTCCACTTGTCATGGAGTCATTAAAAAACTAACGAAAATTTCAAATAATGTCAGTTTGACCCCCATAGCGTAGGGGTGGTAATTTGACCCGTCTCGTCCCTAATGGGATGTAGTGGGTATGCCTTTAAAAGGGTTGGGGATGAGTATGGGATTAGACAGCATAGTTAGTAACTCGCCCTGCCCGCTGTGATTAAATATTAAATTACATATAGATCCCTGTTTTCTTAGTATTCCTTACATACACTTATATATATATATATATATATTTCCTAGTTGGTACTCATACAAACCAAACCCACCCACCACCCCCCTTCTTCTCTCTCTCTCTCAAGTAATTGTTTTCACTCAAGAGGATTCGAACCTTAGACTTTATACTTCATGAGGCACCAAGGCCAAGTTCTTATCCTCTTAAGCCAACCCCTTTAGGTTACATACCCTTATACACACACACACACACACATACATATCTTAGTTTTAGGGTTTCCTTCTATTTTGTTACCACCAGCTGCCTCTCCCCACTTCCTCTCTTGTCTCTCTGGCAAATCAGCTACCCTCTTCTTCCGATCAACGGTAGGACTTCCGATCAAATCGTGGCTTTGAATTGGTGAAGGTACTATATATATGTATGTTATGTATTTATATCGATGGATCATAAAGAACCCTCAGATCTCTCTTTATTTCTCTTTGTGTCTCCCTCTCTCTTTCCACCTTCTCATCACCTCTTTGCATTTACACCGATCAAAACCTCCGGAGATCTATTCCTACTTCCTACAATTGTTTATTATGCTTCCTCATTTGTGCTTTATGTGTTTTATGAGATTAGTAATTTCTACTTCATGTTCTTTCTATCTAGGGTTTATTTTGGTTATTTGATGATATATTATGGCTTGTCTATGCTTTTGGATATGTGAATTTTTTTATGTTCTCACTGATATACAATTTGACACACTATCGTCATCATGACCTTCTTCTTCTTCTTCATCTTATCACTTGGTTGGAGGCTAAACGGGGCGGGACATGGCGGGATCAGGAGTAAGATCTAAAATGATAAACGGAGATGGTGCTGGGGATCATAACTTGTTCGGGGTTTGGGGTGGCAATGGATTGTGGAATTACTAAACAGGTAGGGGTAGGGTTTAGGGAAAGCTGTCCCATACCAGCCCCGTGGCCATCCCTTCCATAGGGGGTAAAATGCTATAAAAATGATAGTGCGGGGTGTAATTTGCAAATGTTGGCATATTTTCATTTCCTTTTGATTTTGTTCCTTTATTTTTAACCACTAAATTTTCACACTGATACGTTATAAATTTCACACAATTACATCGATTAATAAATAAAAAGAGTGATTCTTTAATTTAATTTAAAATACATGCTTATTATTACATTCCTTATAGATTTCTTTCTAATAATGATAATAATGAACTTTGGAAAACTTATTGGTGTCCCAAAAGTCAATAATGTTTTTATGCTCCAAATTCTTCTTCAAACTACTTATGTTTCTTTCTTTCTTTCTTCTTTCTTCTTTCTTCTTCATTGTTTACCTTTGTAATATATGCCATAGGTCTATTTTGTATTAGGATAATCTCCCACATGCCCGCATGCCCACATACCCTTTATGGCTATCTGCATCTATGGAGCATGCTGTTTAATTGATGCTCTTATTTTTTAGGAAAAATCAAATTATCCAATGGTTGCTCTACAGTTCAATTAATGTCTGTATCTTGGTTGTTTTTTTGGTGCTTATCTTACATGTTTCACTAACTTCAATTTGTTACTGGTCTTTATGAGACATCAATGCATAACTATATAAGTTTTGGTTTTTACCAAAATTTTGTATTTGAGCAAAGACCTTTTTACTCATTTGCATTGATTGCTTCCCTTTATAGCTGGAAATCAATTTGATTGTTAATAGAGAGAGAGAGAGAGAGAGATTGTTCCAATTAATCTCTCGAATGACATTATACTCTGTATGATTTCATTAACTTAGGTGAAATGTAGTTTCAATCAACAACCCGAACTCCAGGGACTCTTATCTGTGAAGGGTATTGACAAGTTTTTTCCGTAGTAGATCCCCATAACCATTAGACCAAGCATCTGAAGTTTCAAGAACTGTATACTCAAAACTCGATATGGGCTTTGTTTGGCATTCAATGCTTATTCATGTACCAATTAAAGTTTCCATCGACTCTCGTATATGAAGTTGTAATTAAAATTGTATGCTTATTATTACATTTCTTATTAATAATTAATAAGCATACATATTAAATTAAATCAACGAATCACCCTTTAAATTTACTAATCAGTGTTATTGTGTTCACAAACTTTGGAAGGTATTAGCATGAAAATTTAGTGGTTAGAAATAACGGAACAAAATCAAAGAAAATTGGAAATATGTAACTGCACTTCATTTTTTTAAGCATTTTTTTGCGGCTCCATGACAACTGGGAGTAAGTTGCAACCGTTATACATATTACAAGAGGGGGTTAGGTGAAAAAAAAATTAGTGCAGGGGTTAAGTGCCAAAAAGGAATATCACGGGTTATCTACAATTAACCCTTTATTTATTTATCTCTATATGTAGTTTAGTATAAATAAACCTTAGGCAACATAGATCCTCAGATCAAACGATCTCCTGACAGTTCTCACTGCTCAGTGACCGTGTCTTTTCTCGTCTCTGACTCTCTCCTCCATTCTTATAGACATCCCGCCAGCAGTTCCAACATCAAAAATATTTGCGCCTCTTCATTTTTTCTAGTGAGTTACGTCTGTGTGTGTGTGTGTGTGTGTGTGTGTTCGTCACTCAATCTCTCTGTCATGCAAGTATCTTTGTCATCCTCATATTTGTTCCACCAGCACAGATTTTTTCTTGGTTTCTTCAGTCCCAGCCCTCTCTTGATTTAAATTGGTTTATATCTTTGTTTGACAACTTTTGGGTGGTCCATCCTATTTTAGGGAAATGCATTCATAAATTGATATCACCAGTTTTTGGGTTTCATTTATCGAACACTATTTTTGTTTTGTTTGTCTTTGATTTGATAAATGTATTATTAAAATGGGTTTTGTAAATTTTTAATTTGATAACTGGCTGGGCGTGCAATAGTGCATGCATAAATTCTGTCCATTCTTTTGCTTGTGCTATTCATCTACCACTATTTGGTCCTAGCCCTCACTTCATATTGCTTGTTATGCATTCTTGTTTTGTTTGGTAGTCCAAATGATTTAGTTTGCAGCTGTAATTTGGGCAGTCCATCCTGATTTGAGGTGAGGGACTTGTCCTTAGGGTTCATTTTCTTTGATTGAGCGAGCTCTGTTAGAAGGGCACCTAGCTCGAGCCCTCTGTTGAATTTGTATTGTATCCTCACAGACCCAGCCCTATATTGAGATTAAAATGCCAGTCCATCAAACTAAACTGATCCAAACCGTTCTTGTGCTGTCCGGATTGTTCGGTCAGTTTGGAACCGGTGGGACTAGATTGGTTCCATTCCCAAAAACCAATTTAATCTGAACTATGTACATGCTATTTTCATATAAATGGATATTGACATATGCGGATTTCTAGTTTTTAAATCTAAAGCAGAGGTCATTCACTATATCCTGCAGTCCATTAGGTATGAAAAAATGGGGTTTAGTTTGTTCATTAATCTTTTTTCTTTGTGCAGTCCATTTGAAGAAAATGTCAGAGTTTCCTCCTCGAGATGTTTTGATTGATATCCTTGCTAGACTGCCCATCAAGTGCCTCGTGCAATGCACAACTGTCTGCAAATCATGGTATTCTCTCATCACAAGCCCTATTTTCATCACTATACACCTCAATCGATCAGATGTGATGAACAAGGATAACAAGCTTTTTCTGGTCCGAAGATGCTCTAGTGATCAAAACGAAGAGCATTACTCACTACATTATGACAATCAAATGTTTGATGAATATGCAAAGGTCCGGTTTCCACTGAAGAGCTATGCAAACTATAATTTTCGGATAATCAGTAGCTGTAATGGGGTTATTTGCCTCTCGTACGATCAATTTTTTATTACCAATGACCTGTATCTATGGAACCCGTCGATTCAAAAGTTGATGGCCCTTCCACCTGTTCGTGTCAGACTTCAGTCACGTGGTTCATTTATGCATAACATTGGGTTCGGCTTTGATCCATTGACGAATGACTACAAGGTCATAAGGATCGTGTTTTCAAATCCTGGGGAAATTCCACCTGAGGTAGATATTTTCACTCTGAGCACGGGCACTTGGCGGGACATTAGGCATTTATGTCTTCCATATATCATCGAGGATAGAGCTCCCCTTGCTTATGTGAATGGGGCTGCACATTGGATTGCATCTGATAGGAGAGGGGTCCTTCGTGGCCGCTTGATCGTGTCATTCCACATCGGTGATGAGGTATTTCGTGAGATTATGCTGCCTGGTAGCATGGCTATCGATGTGTCTTATCCGTTAAGTCTTCGTGTTGCTAAGTTTCAAGAATCGCTTTGTCTAATCGAGATGCAGTTGAGTGGTCATTTTGGAAATATTGGCAAGTATTATTGTGTATGGATGATGAAAGAGTATGGTGTAGCGACGTCTTGGACTAAACAATTTAATATTGATATGGGCAAAATTTTGGAAAGTGCAGTACTGACAAGTAATGGGTTTTTGGTATCTTCTGATCCTGAATCCAAAAAGCTTAGGGATCTCGAAATTTATGGTTCTACATATTCATGGCATAAGGACCAGTTTTATGCTTACACTGAGAGCCTGGTTTTACTTGGGCTGAAACCACCTGTTTTGCGCGGAAAAGAGATTGAAGCTGACGAGAAAACCAAGGAAGAAAGGGAATAGCACCAGGTAAGATGCATGATCTCACTAATTTTTTCATCTTATATTTATCCATTGCCAACTTCTGTTATTTCTACATCTGAATGTCAAATCTCCACCTAGCAATTGAATAACCTTTCTGTCCTCATTGCTCTAGTTATTAGGTAGCATAAACTGCAAAACTGTATGGTCAATTGCTGTTTATTTTTCAGCATCTCTAGTACGGCAACTGTTTTTCTACTGAATATTGATTTCGATCTTTTCATGTTTGATGTGAAATTTTTTTTCTTTCAGGTTGAAAGCAAAAATGAGGAAGAGACGAAAGGGGATCTATTGGAAGAGTAGAAGTGGCATGTAAACTCTTTTGTGCTTTTAGTTAGTTAGTTTGACTTTGCTTAGTATACATGAATTATATAAATCATGTAGTTAAGAACTTCCTTTAGGAAGATTTATCTGACTCGCGATGCCTATAACATTTAGGCTTTTGTATGCGTTTTATATGTTATGCTGATAATATTGCTCAACTTTCGATGCCATTATTTCTTTCTAAAATCTGTTCCGAGTCACAAGCCATATATATATATATATATATATATATATATATATATATAGTATTCAGGAACAGATTTTTGGGTCATGTTGTTGGATGTCTCTACCCGAGCATTTAGAAGTCACTAATCTAGACACGGGTGGGAAATAGAAACTGTCTTTTTAATCCATCTTCCTTGTCAAGATTTTTCCCTATTTGCAGGAGTCATGAGCTTTCCCTAGATAAATGTCTCGAATTTGTGTATGGAAAGACAAATCAAGGTTCAATAATGTTAACGACTCTTGTCGGAAGAAAACCCCAATTTTTGCTTTTGCCTATAATAGATATATATATATATATATATATATATATATATAATGGTCATGGTTTGCATTACACTGATGCAATTGATATGTAGAGTTACTCCCTTCGTGTTCCTTTGCGCTCATAAATTAAATTCTAAAAACTTCAATTTTACAAAGGATTACTTTTCTGTCTCTCAAAATTGAATTAGGGATTAAATAGAGGAATGAATAATCTCATCTTTAGATGAACTTTGCTGCACCAAAGAATTGTAGTGTGTGCCGCCCAGGTAGAAATCTTGAAAATGTGTACAGGAATAGCTGCTGATGCTTAGAACCCCTTGCATTGAGGAAATAGTAGAATGGATGGCCGAATGAACTTTTGTTGTTAAAAGACACGTGTGGTGAAATTAATTAAATATACGTGCACGTACGTGGTGAAATTAATTTAATTTGTGGTTGGGAATACCGTTTACAAGTAAATTTTGAAAGACGACTTAAAAACAATTGATGTACTTTTTTACAAGTAAAATTTCACTAAGAAAACACTCGGAATCAATAGAAAACAATTGATCATAGGTGCTATATATAGCATCAACCTAGGATTCAAATGTTTGTTCGAATATAACAAAAGAAAACGATTGATTATAGGTGCTATGTAGCATCAACCTAAGATTCAAATGTTTCTTTGAATATGACAAAATAAAACTATTCTTTCTGAAATTTTAGAGACAGTATATATATATATATATATATGACAAAATAAAACTATTATTTCTGAAATTTTAGAGACAGTATTTTATTTTGTTTTGTCATATATATATATACTGTCTCTAAAATTTCAGAAACAATAGTTTTATTTTGTTATATTCGAAGAAACACTGTATAGAAGGGGTGAGTGCAGCAAACACCCTGTAATATACTTATTGTAGCACTTTTACTCTCTATTTGAAAAAGTGTGCAATAACTACTGTTTGACATTGTGCAAAATTACCCCTGTCATAAATCTGAAATAAATTAGTGTTGTAATACACATTTTGTCATTTTATTTTTCCCAAAATGCCCATGCAATCATCCTCTTCACTTCACTGCAATAATCCTTTGCAATCACGTGCTCGCCGTCTCCACCATTGATCCATCCACTTCACGCCGAAAATTCTAGTGTTCACCGCTGATCCGTCCACCTCAAACCTAATATGAGAACCACGTAAGGGCCAAGGAAAGGAAAAAGCAGTAGAGAAAGACCCAGAGCAACAGAGGCCTTTCAGAAGGCTCTCAAGAAGTCAAAGTAGAGGCTGGTTTCCCGGTGCTGTTCACCGGATGCACTGTCTAGCCACACTCTCCTCGATTAGTGGATTCATCGTCCGGCCAAACTCTCCTCGATCATCGGATTCACCGACGTCACGGCGATTTCGATGGCCATTACTTCACATTCATGTTCGACGCGTCGACGATCGTGGTGGAGGAATCAACAGTGCTATTCGCATCACGACCGCCGCCAGCGCCGCATCTTCCTCCGCCTCACCCGCATCTGAACTCTCACTGGAGAGAAATTTCCCTGTGAATAGTGGTCGACGATGGTGGGGTTGTGGTGATTATTGACTAATTTTTGGGTTGTGGCATTAATTGATTCTGGTGTTGGGTTGTGAAGAGAAGATGGGTGTAGTTGTTAAAGATGAATTATAGAGAGAGAAAGGATAGAATCATTAAAAGACAAAACAAAAAACAAATCTCACAGTGAGTCTTTGTGATTGGGTGAGGATGCTAACTGGTTATGGCAGACTCCTACCTAAGTCAAAGACAAGAAGCAAAAGTAAAGAAGAACCAGGTTTTGTGTGGGGAGCAGGAAGACGAGGCGGCGACAGCGTCGAAGAGATGAGAAGAAAAAAAAAAAAAAAAAAAAAAAAAAAAAAAAAAGAAAAAAAAAACGAAAGAAAGAAAGATGTGTTATACCCGCAAATAGATGGGTTATAAACAAAGACCCATTTCTCTGCTGCCTAAACATAGTCCAGTCTCCCGAAACACAGTCCAGTCTCCGGAAGTGTCCCCCCCCTCCCACCAAAAAAAAATATTTAGTAGGGGCAATTTTAGCCCAAAAAAAAAAATGAAAAAAGAAAGAAAGAAAGTAGTAGTAGTATTAGCAGCCCATTTCAGAATAAATTAGCCCACCCTATTATGCATTTCTGAATCTACCCTTGCTGCGGGCCGTATCTATGCTTCTTCTCCACAGACGCAACTTTCTATGTGTTATACCCGTAAATAGATGGGTTATAAACAAAGACCCATTTCTCTGCTGCCGAAACATAGTCCAGTCTCCCGAAACACAGTCCAGTCTTCGGAAGTGCCCCCCCCCCCCCCCCCCCCCCAAAAAAAATATTTAGTAGGGGCAATTTTAGCCCCAAAAAAAAATGAAAAAAGAAAGAAAGAAAGTAGTAGTAGTATTAGCAGCCCATTTCAGAATAAATTAGCCCACCCCATTATGCATTTCTGAATCTACCCTTGCTGCGGGCCGTATCTATGCTTCTTCTCCACAGACGCAACTTTCTACCTGTCAAGAATGCCAGGCTCTCTGATGATGCAAATGGATAGGGTGTGCAAAACAGTGTCATTTTCGGTCATTTTACAAAAAAATATTATTTTTACAATAAGATTCATTTGGTCAATTTAGATTTTAAATGTATTAGGAGGACCTAATTACGCCAAATTAAAACTTGAGGGGTGTGATATGCATTGTAAGCATACTTTAAGAGTATTTTCTATACTTTTCCCAGTATAGAATCTATAGGTAAAATTTCATTAAGAAAACACTCAGAGGGAAGCGTACCAAAAGAAAACTGTCTTTCTGAAACTTTAGAGACAATTCACTAAAATATATATATATATATATATATATGTTTGTGTATATAGAATTGAAGAATACATAGAGATTGTACGTGAGACATACATACATATATAGAATTAAAGAACTCAATTATTATACACATATATAGAGAGATTGTGAGTGACCGTTAGAACCCAATTGAACTAATTGAGCCAAGAAAGGATGCAAATTGTAGAACAATTTTAAATTGGAAATCCAATTGGTATTTACTGATGCAAATTGTAGACGAATTTGATATTGGAAATCCAATTGGTATTTACTGATGCAAATTATGGACGAATTTTATATTGAAAATCCATTTGTTAAAATTAAAATTGCTTTAGGGAGGGGTTTGCTAGGGATTTTATTTTAATTAAATTGGAAATTCAATTGGTATTTTATTAAGTAGGAAACCAATTATTTTTTTATTTTAGTTAAAATTAAAATTAGTTATTTTTAGTTAATTAAAATTATATTTAGTACAAGAATTATAATACAATTCAATGATTTTAAACACCATGAGAATGATTCATTCTCATGGTCTTATTAGTTTTATTTATTTATTTTTTTTTTCTTCATCTAATTTTAAAATTTGATCGAAAAAAGCTAAAATGAAAGTAGTTTGTCAAAATTATAAGACCATAAGAATGATTCATACTTTCAATTGGCCCTTTATGAAAGGCGATATTCATACTTTACTTTTTTACTGCTTTATTATTATTATTATTTTAGATAAAGTGAATGACAGAAAAGTTAAAGTTAATTAATGTACATTTCTTATTTTATTATGCCCTAATTACAGTTTACACTATAAACTTTTTTTTTTTTTAAGGTTATTATTACATGGAGTCTAAGACCGACTTACAGAATCCATCACAAACCTCTCCTCATCTCTCTCACCCCTCTCTACCTTATTTGCAGATTGCACCACCTCTCTCTTTTATGTCTCTTTCTCCTCTCCAGGACCTTCTCTCTCCGTTTTTTTGTTGCGAAATCAAACAGAAAATACAAGAAGTGGATCAAACACACACACAACAAAAACACAAATTTTACATGGTTCACCCAAAATTCAGGGTTACATCCAAGGATTGCAGGAATTTTCACTATGATGATAAAAAATAACAGCGGATACAGAGAGTTCAGAATGAATAAATACCCTCGCACTAATTCAACATAACAAGTGCAGAAATTACCAAAATACCAATCAGCGGAGTTGAGACTTGGTGTACAATATTTATGAAGCTCCACACAACCCATCAATCTCTTACTTGGAGATTGATAAACATCAAATTGTCAACTCCCACATGTCTTCATACATAGCAAAACACCACAGCAACTCACTCCTTTGTCCTTAAGCTTGAACACCAACTGAAGCTAAACAAAGCTTCAGTTTCTCAATTGTCATTGCTTTGGTTAACATATCTGCTGGATTTTTACTCCCATGGATCTTCTCAAATGATAAAACTCTATCCTCTAAAAGTGAGCGTATGAAATGGTACCACAAATGTATATGGTTTGTTCTAAAATGGAATGCTGGATTCTTAACAAGATGAATAACACTTTGACTATCACTGTACAAAATACTGTTCTCTTGCTTCTTACCCAATTCTTCTAAAAAAACCATGCAACCAAATCATCTCCTTGCTAGCTTCTGTAATTGCAACATATTCAGCTTCTATGGTAGATAGAGCCACAATCTTTTGCAACTGAGAGACCCAACTCACTGCTGTACCACCCAAAGTATACATATACCTCGTAGTACTCTTCCTATTATCTATATCACCAACCAAGTTTGAATCAACATAACCATGCAATGTAATCCCTTTTCCAGTAAAACATAGTGAT